CACTGGAGCATGGAGCCAGCCTAGAGAGGGTCAGGTAGGAACTGTTTTTTCACTTTATGGCACGGTTTTGCCAATTGGAAAAAAAAATAACTTTTATACCCCAAAAGGGTGTAAAACATTGATGATTATTTTTGAAAAAGGGCTTTTCAAAACTGAGCCATATTGGAAAAAATCAGCATTTATCCTATCCTGTGCAGGCAGGCTCTATTTACTATCTGCTTCTCCACAGTGCTCTGATCCATCTGAGATGGATGCACTAGTTCATGTTTTAGCCTGTGTACATAATTAATAAATCAGACATGATACTCAGTTCTGCAACCCTTTGTAAATTACCTTAATTGTTAAGAGTCCTAAAGAAAACAGTAGTGAATCTTAGCATTTTAATCTGTAGTTAAATGAGTATATACCCCATAGTTTGAGGAAAATTTTGCATCATTCTTTTTCAGTCAAGACCATATCTCTGAAAAGCAGGGAGGTAGTGATTGCATGAACTGACTTTTCTATATGTATGTAGCTTCCCGGGATCATCTCATTAAATCCTCAAAAGAATACTGCATCCCTTTTTATAGACGTAGAAATGAGACTTTAGACAATTAAAATAAATTGCTCAGAATTACATATTAGAGAGTAAAAAGCCATTCAAACCCAAGAAATACAGCTGAAGAAGTCTTTTATATGTTAGATTATAATTTTTTGAGTTTCTGGTTTGGTTGGTTGGTTGGTTGGGTTGGTTGTTTTTGTTTTTGTTTTTTTTTCCGAGACAGGATTTCTCTGTATAGCCTTGGCTGTCCTGCACTTACTTTGTAGACCACACTGGCCTTGAACTCACAGTGATCTCTATGCCTTTGCCTCCCAGAGTCCTGGGATTACAGACATGCACCACTGTGCCCAGTTACTTTTTGTTTTATCTGCAATTGAAAAAGTTCTGGTGTTAAAGGACTGAAGGATTTACTTAATACCAAACTGAAAATTTGGGAGAAATAGAGTAAATGACTACAATATACATAGAGCTTAGTATTGAATGAACTATTGTTTAACATTTCTTTTTTTTTTATTTAAATTTGCATTTTAAAATTTTTTCACTTTACATCCCAATAGTATCTCCCTCCCTTGTCTTCTCCCAGTCCCACCCACCCTCCCTTTTTCCCCCTATTCCCTTCCCCTAGTCCACTGAAAGGGGGAGCCTTCCTATCAAGTCTCATCAGGGCTGCCTAGGGGGAAGTGATCAACAGAGTCCATATCAGAGACAGTCCCTGCGCCCCTTACTAGGGAACCCAAATGGAGACAGCTGCCTATTAGCTATATCCAAGCAGGGGTCTCTTTATGCATGGTTCTTGGTTGGTACATCAGATTCTATAGGAATAGTGCTACCTCAAGATCCAACTATACAACTCCTGGGCATATATCTGAAAGATGCCCAACCATACAACAAGGACGTTTGCTCAACTATGTTCATAGCAACTTTATTCATGATAACCAGAATCTGGAAACAACCCAGAAGTCCTTAAACCAAAGAATGGATAAAGAAACTGTGACACATTTACACAGTGAAATACTACTAAGCTATTAAAACAAATCATAAAATTTGCATGTAAATGGATAGAACTAGAAAAGGTCATCGTGAGTGAGGTAACCCAGAAGCAGAAAGACACACATGATATGTACTTATAAGTGGATATTAGCCATATAATATAGGATAAACATACTAAAATCTGTACTCCTAAAGAAGCTAAACAAGGAGGACCCTAGGGAAGTGGCTGTAACCTCATTCAAAAGGGCAAACAGGATAGACATTGGAAGTAGGAAAAGACAAGGAATAGGACAGGAGCCTTCCACAGAGAACCTCTGAAAGACTCTACCCAGGTTATTGAAGCAGATGCTGAGACTCATAGCCAAACTTTGGGCAGAGTGCAGGCAATTTTATGGAAGAAGGGGGAGATAGAAAGATCTGGAGGGAGCAGGAGCTCCACAAGGAGAGCAACAGTTAACATTAATCTCTACCTTTACAATAATACAATTTTAAGTATTTTAAGTGTTGTTGACTTACCAAACTGCTTTTAGTAGTAGACCATGTATTCTGGTTTTTAATTTGTGGTAACGCCTTTTTAAATGTTTCATAGAAACATGGAGTAGAGTATTTGAACAGTTGGAACAATGACTTGTTATTTGCTATTCTGATGATTACTGTGTTAATATTTGGAAATATTTCTGTACTGGGAGTTATAGGCATTTATGAACACCTAGCAGCAGAAAAGCATGCTACTAAACATATTTATGTTAGAAGAAAATAATAATTCTAAAAGGTTTGCGTATTCCCAAGATTATTTGAATGCGGTAGGCAAGAGTCATAAATATTACCCTTTAAAAGATGTTGGGCCAGTGAGATAGCTCAGTGGATCAATGTCCACTAGAGTTCCATCTTCAGGACCCACATTGTGGAGAGAACTGACTCCCACAAGTTGTTCTAACTTCCGTGTGTGAGCCAGCTTAGCATGTGCATGTTCACACAGTAGACAAGCACACAAAGTAAATAAAAAGATAACTTGAAAAATATTAAAGATGTTAGAATAACAAGTAATTCTTAGAAGTACACAATTGTGACAAGCTAAAACAGTACAATGAAATGTTTTCATTAAAATGGAGTTCCATGATTGATTTAATTTAAGCTTGCTTGCTTATTGATTGATTGATTGATTGATTGGGATAGGGTTTCTCACTGTAGCCTTGGCTCTCCTGGACTCACTTTGTGGACCAAGCTGGCCTCAAACTCACAGAGATCCGCCTGCCTCTGCCTCCTCAAGTTCTGGGATTACAGCCACCGTGCCTGGCAAGCTTTATTATTTTAAATACTGTTAAGACTGAAGTACAATTTGGTGGAGATTATAGCATTGAAGATCTTTATTAGTGTGTTTTTAGTGATACTTAGGATAAGATACATTTTACTTCAAGATTTATGCATTTCATAACCAAAAAACAAATATTTGTGAACTGCATTTCTTAGTGACTTTAGAGTTGTCTTGGAGCTTTTAATTATAAAAGGAGTACATAGGGAGATGTGTAGCAAGTCCAGAGGGACAAACTGTATTTTATAAAGGACTCATCAGGAGGCTTTCCCATTGTTTATTTAATTGTTTCTGTTTTTGCTTTGAAAAGTGTAACTTCTGAAGACTAAATTGCCTGTTTTTCAAAATAGTGCAGGTGGTGATGTTAGATCTAAAATGATTAAGTGAGAAGTCATTTTAAAAAGAAAGGTGTGATAGATTAAGAAAGACACTCTCATTTCTGCTTTCCTTCTTATGGAGTAAAGACTCCTAACCATAGGTTGTGGTGAAGAGATGGTGGGTAAAAATGAGTAAAAGCTTCAGACTTTAGAGTAATTTCGTGGCTTATCAAATCTCCGAGCACACTGGTATGATACTAGACTTGAGGAATAGAAATAATAATAGTAGCAGGCTTCAGACTACAAATACAATCAAATACTGTAAATTTGGTATGAAACCAGGATTCATTGGGAAATTTCCCTTAGCTATTCAGCTAAGGATGATCTTTATGTACCACCTGTTTGGGGAAATGAAATGTCATTATGAGCATAGCTGGAGCTCAGCCAGATGTGCCTTATCAACATTCATGAAGAACTAGGTTAAAAGATCTTAGAAATTTAGGATCATTTTTACATTTGATGAAAAGCTGTGTTTGTTATCCACATATTTCCTTTTGCTGTAGCTTTACTTTGGGGCACTGGGCCTTCTCTGTGTTAGGTATCCTTTGTCCAAAAATGCTTGAGACCAGAAGTAGCAGGTTTATGGGAATATTTGCCTATACCTAATAAGATGTCCAGGGGGAGTACTAGGGACTCAGCAGGATAGCCCTTTCTGCTTTCTGTATATTTGATACAAACCTCAAGTTAATGATATGCAGGACTTTTAGTGTGTCTATGTTTTCACTGCATTCTGTCAGGTCAGCTGTGAGATTTTCCACTCGTGTCATGTCAGCACTTTAAAAAATAGGATTTTGTAGCATTTTCATTTTTGTTTGTTTTTGTTTTTTTTTTTTTTAAGACAAGGGATGTGTAACTTACATTCTCTGGTACTTTCGTTAAGGTGCTACATTTCTGTGCTGACTAGGGAGAAAGAAGAATCTGACTAAAAACATTGCTGATTATCAGAATTAAGACTTGCTAACACCAGACAAATGCCCTTTCTATTTTAATATGCTATTGTCCTTTATGACAGTGTTTTCTAAAAACTAGAACCCAATAATGAAATAAATTCTCACATAGAGACTCAGTGTGTCCAAAAGATCAGGGTAAAGTTGTACTATTTGAAGCCAAAGTAGAAAATAGAAAACACAGACCATTAAGCTTCTTGCTTTTCTTTTTCTACCAGGTACCTCTGTAAAGAAGCCTAAGCTTTCAGAGAATATAGTTTCATTATGCACTATATATCATAGAATTTTTAAAGTTCCATGTTTCTTTAAAGGTATTTAACTCATTGGCTATTTTTCTGCAAACCAGTTTCTGTTGTTAAACATCCTGACTCCTTGTTCAGCTCATGGTAGAGCAAATAGCCCCTCACAAAGTCTAGTGAACATCTCATTTCATGCCTTGACTCTCCCACCGCAGGATGAAATGAAAGCCGACTTAGAGCTGGCGGGGGGCGGGGGGAGTAAAAGGGGCAAAGCATCTTCTGGTTAAAGGAAATGCCCTGTTTTTAATTATCTCTCTAGCACCATGTATCGGTGCTAGATGAATTTTATTAAAGTTATGTGCGTGGAAGTAAAATAATTATTTTCTCAACTCATTCTCAAGACTGCCAAATGCTTGCCTGGAATAACACCTTAAGCTCATGGCCCTGCTTACTCATTGCTTGGAGAAAACAGCACAGTACTTACTTCTCTTCCCCACCCTTATACATTTGTTTCTTAAGCTTAGAGATTATCGTGACATTGCTGTGCAGTTTTCTGCTGCTTACTTTTAAGTTGAAATCTCATTTTTGTTTCAGATTCTCCTTCTTCTGTGGTTAACAAACAGCTCGGATCCATGTCACTTGATGAGCAACAGGGTGCGTGCAACAGGAGATGTGCTATGCCCATCCATCCATAGTTTTAGTGCAACGCATACACAAAGTTCTTTCTTGCTTTTGCTTAGTATATCATTTGGATTACGGTCTTCATTCAGTATTTTATGGCCTAAACTATCCTATGTGGTATTGTGCACAAAGGGCTCCTTTGGCCTAAACAAATTATGTTCTGTGTAAGCTCTTTTCTGCCTTTGGCATTTTTATAGCAACTTTGAAGTCTCTCTTTTAACAGTTTGTAATATGATATAACTGTTATTATAGCTCTATATCATAAAATCATATAGAACTGTGGTTTAATGTTAGCGTATTGCCCCATGCTTATTTAGAAGCTATTTGAGTGTAGCAATATCCCATACTCCTAGGTTGCTGTGGTAACGACACATAGGTTTTTTTTGTTTGTTTGTTTGTTTGTTTTTTTTGTCATACTGAACTAGTAGTAGAGACAAGGTCTTATAGGTAGCCCAGGTTGGCCTTAAGCTACCAGTGATTTTGTTTAGCTGTCCTCCTGAGTCCTGGGATGCTGCCACCCTGCTCAGCTCTGATACTTTTAATTTCAGGCACTGTGCTCATAAACCCAGAGATAGACAGAAAGCTAAGCAGTCAGCAGGGAACACCTCTTTACTACCACCTGGACTTTGTTAAAGTAGCAAAGGTATAGACTCAGACTCAAAGGCTTGAAGAGAACCAGATGCAGTCAACAGGTTTATTGATGAAGCTTTGTTACTAGCCAATCTGATAGAGTGCAGAGAGCAATTAGCATAGGAGAGCTTTCTGAAAAGGGGGGTATGATTGCAGAAAGAAATAATGTAAGAAGCTATAGTGCTTCCTTTAGAATTAAGGTAAATAGCTTATTAGCTCAGCTCAGAATTCGCTAAAGGATTCTAAGTACTTTGTGATATAACAATGTTAGTGATATTAAGCCACAAAGAATATTTTGAACCTCTCTCTCTCTCAGTCAATCAATCAATCAATCAATCAATCAATCAATCAATCAATCATTCATTCATCTGTCTATCTGTGGTGTGTGTGTATCAGGGGGCCATGTCATGGTGCAATCCTGCATAGTGATCAGAGGATAACCTGAGTCAGTTCTTTCCTTCTACTGTATGCATGGGTTCCAGGGTTTGAACTCAGATCAGATGAGGCTGCAAGCATTTTAACTGCTGAGTCATCTCACCAGCTTGATTTCAGTAATCTCTGTTTGAAAGGGATAAATAGACAGCTAATAAATTTCACAAATTTCTTTTAAAAAGTTGTGACTAAGCATGGAGTCTGGAAGCGTTGGTGACAGATCTAGGCAGACTCATCATTCGCTGAAGGAAGGTAATATTGCTGCAGAGTCTGGTGTAAAAGAGATCTAACTTTAACCATCCTAGAGAAATGGTCAAAAAACTAAACTAAAAAAAATTAGAAACTTCTGTAAATTTAGCCTTAAATTACTTGTAAACCTTTTGATGACAAGTATTATTAGGTTTGTTTGTTTTGTTTGTACCTGCTCTTAAAAAATAAAGCTAGATGTGGTAGTTCTTGCTTTTAATCCCAGCACTCAGAAACCGATGCAGGAGGATTGCCATGTCATGGTGCAATCCTGCATAGTTCTTGCTTTTAATCCCAGCACTCAGAAACCGATGCAGGAGGATTGCCATGAGTTAGATTGAAAATCTGAGATAAGAAAAAAAAAAAAGTAAAATACAATGAGCAAAATGAGGCAGGAGGGAGGAAAAGAAAAAATAAATGAATTTGAGCACTACAAAATTAAGCATGTTTTATCTTTACACAGAGTAATAAAATGGGGAATAATTATAGCATCACATTATAGTACACTATAGCCAGAATCATGTGTAGTTAATCATATAGAATTTCTGTAGATTTATATTGAATATTATTCCTAATTTAGTTGGTACTTCATTTATATAAGAAAGAGAAGACGCAAGTTTAATTCACACAGCTTTACCCTCACTGCCAGAGTGAATGGTGATCCATTTGGTGAGGTTAAAATGAAATAGAGATAGAAATTGGAAGGATCTTTGTTTTGGGGACCATGTAATATGATTTACCATGTAGTCATATAACCAGAGAGGTTGTATGAGGTCAAATATCAAGTGTATTTGGCAGAAACTACATTGTAAAAGACCATTGTAAATGTAGTTTTGTGATAAAACCTATGATCAGAAATTTCTTGATGATGGAAAATAACCTAGGCACATGCCTTCCCTGTGGCAAATATAGACAGCCTGTTTCTCACCAGTCTATTTCTTCTGGTCTAATGTAATAACCCTGTGACTGGCTTTCTCATGGCTATTCAAGCCACAATCAATTCCCTACTAACAAACAGTGAACCTTTGAAAAGTGTATATATACTCATACGGTTGATCTGTATGAGTTAAAGTTTCTTTAACCCTTGAAAACTCTCAAGTCCATGCCGTGACTTATACGCCAAACATGAGCTAGCCTTTATCTCCCTAACCATACTTTTGGCTGTTCTGCTCACTCATTGTGTTCTCCCCAAGCTGCCTGCAGTCTACTCACACTCTGAGCTCCTTTCCCTCTCAAGATAGCTTATGTGTTCTTCCTACTCCCAAACTGCATTTTTTATTAAGCACTTCTACTTAATTCTTTAAGTGCCAATCTCTGAAAAAAATGTGACTTCCCAGTATATAGTATTTCCCTTTCTGTGGCTTGTTGTTTGCTCTTATTAGATTTGCAGTCATGTATTTATTTGGAGGACTGTTTTGTATATACCTCTCTCCATATTCTGGATGTGCTGTTTTTATTTATTTCATGCATATGCAGTGTATGAAGTCATACCATTTTTATGAATACCAATATTTGGCCAGGGTTTTTTGTTTGTTTGTTTGTTTGTTTGTTTGTTTTTTGAGGAAGTAGGGGCTGGGTTGGTTTGTTTGTTTTTGTTGTTGTTGTTTTTAGATAGGCTCTTACTCTGTAGTCTTGGTTGGCCTGGAACACTCTTTGTATACCAGGCTAACCTGGAACTTTCAGAGTTCAGTTCATATGCCTCTGCTTCATGTGCTGGGATTAAAGGCATGCCACCACGACTGGAAACAGTACTTGTTGAATAAGTAAGTAGATTAATTCTTTAGGTGATCAGAGCCATGAAAATTATTTCAGATTGGAAAATTCAGCATAATCACCAGGTTTACATATTGGAAAGTTCATTTGGGCAATAGTATAAATAAATGAATGGAGGATAAAGATTGAAGAGAGTAAGAATCCAGGTAAGAGACAATGAAGAATCCAGTCTAAGGCATTGGAATAGGAAATAAGGAAATCCTTGTGGAGTAGAATGAGTAGAATTTGTGCTTGGGGTAGGTTGTTTGTCTTACCTGGTGTGGATTATGACTCCAGCACTACAAAAGAATCAAAGTAATGACAGTAATGGTGGCAATAAGAAGTGATACTTTGAAACTGGTTAGCCAGAAATTGAGACAATTATGTCTGGGTATCTTGATAAGATTATAGTAAGCCACCAGAAAGATGGAAAAACAGACAGTTGGAGGGAAAGGAGCTGTGTGAGATACCCTGAAATGTTTGCTTTGAAGTGTCTTAGTCTGGTTGTCTTGCATATGTTTTAACCCTAGTACCTGGGAAGCACAGACAGGTGGATCTCCTGTGAGTTCTAGGTCAGCCACGCCTGCATAAGGAGTCCGTGTCATTAAATCTAGGGAAGAAGAGGGAAGAAAAGAGAGTTGGAGGAGATGAATTAACTTAATAAGAGGTTTGCTTCAGCTCTGGAGGTATCTACTTGGCTGCTCTGTGCATATCTCAGTCAGAAGCATATTGAAGACAGATGTCACGTAGAAATACTAGAGAAAGCTAAGGAAGCCATATTTGGTTGGTAGCAGCTTCCCTACCATTAACTTATATAATCCTCTGAGGAAGAAGTCACTTCTGCAAGCTGAGATTAGTCCACAGGTGAGGACTCTGTATTCATGATACAACAGCCTCCTGTCTACTGCCAGTGATGTATGTAATTATTCAAAGAAAAATTTTCATCAGTGAGACAAATTCATTGAAACTGAAAAATGTTATTAGTAACCCTTTTTATTTTTGCTAATTAACCCCAGAAAAAAGAAATCTAGGAACTACTATGGGAATGAAAACAATATAGAGAGCGCCTGGTCACCTACATGATGATAAATACACATTCTGCTGAATAAACATCAAATTTTAAAAGAATCCTGTCTCTTTACAAGTATGAAAGAAATAAGATGTAGAGCCAGAGGTCTGGTTTTGTTGCTCAGGCTGATTGATGTCTTGTGCTTAGACAATCCTGTTTTAGCCTCCAGGATAGCTGGGACCACGAGAACATATCTATTTGTCTCAGTGTTTCTATTTCCTTTAGTCAATGTGCTTTCTAAAGAAACAAAATGCTAGGGGAAAATCAAATAACAGACACTGTTATTTGAGTAAAACACTTTCTTATATCCATAAAGCTTAAAGTTGTGCGTGGTAAGCACATGGATGTCTCCACTGTGCTTATTACGGACAAGGCACAATATCTGTGATGAACTTTGCTGCCTAAGAAAATCGCATATATATAATTTTTAGTATATATTATTTAGATATATATGTATATTATACATTCTGTTATTAAAATAACATGGAGGAAAGGGAAGGGGATAATGAAATTATAATCTCAAAAAATAAAAATGTTATATGTGTATTATATATTATGCTTTATATAGGAACAGTAGCCTATATATGTATGTACAACAAATACATGTATTGTAAATATATACATATAATATATGTATATAATAGGTAATCATATGTATAATTTTATTTGAGACAGGGTATCATTCCGTAGCACTGGCTGATCTAAGTCTTATTATGTAGCCCAGGCTGTCTTTGAATTCCCAGAGAACTACCTGCCTTTGTCTCTCCAGTGCTGGGATTAAAGGTGTGCTTCACCATGAACCCCTTTAAATAATATATATATATATAGTTTTTAGAATTTAGGACTGATGTTCATACTAATGTTCTCCATGCTGGTCTTAAACTAAAATCAAGTATTCCTGAGTACCTGAGACTACAGGCATGTGTTGCATGCCTAGAAAAAGAATACATTTTAATGAGAAGTTAAATTTTCTGTTTTACTTCTGTGCCTAATTGTCATGTTTATTGTCCTAAAGGGAAAATTGTTTTATAAATAATATTTAGTCTACAAAACATACATATGTTCATTAATATTATTGCTTATATATTATTAAAACTTTGTTTTTGTTTTTTGAGACAGGGTTTCTCTGTGTAGCTCTGGCTGTTCTGGAACTTGCTCTGTAGAGCAAGCTGGCCTTGAATCAGAGACCCACCTGCCTCTGCCTCCTGAGTGCTGGCATTAAAGTGTGTGCCACCACAGCCCTCTTCTTTTAGTATATTTTTTAAAAGAATTAACTTAGGGGAGGGCATAAGAGTATAATATTGCATAAGTTTAAGTATTTGTTATGAATGAGAAAATTGCTTTACACTTCTTACAGTAATAATTGTTAAATAAAATAACTGTCATTTTTACCTATGTAGGCTTCCTATAGCATTAAAGCACTGCTCTATATAGGAGACTAATAGGTACTAAGAACCTAGGAAAACTGATTTTACTAATTATTCTGGGGTAGATTGGGAAGTGGAAAAATTGGATTTGTCATGAATTAAATATATATTGCTTTAAGACTCATATTATAGCTGGGCATCGTGGCACATGCCTTTAATCCCAGCTCTCAGGGAGGCAGAGACAGGCAGAGATCTCTGTGAGTTCAAGATCATCCTGGTTCTACAAATCCAAATCGAATCTAGTACAGCCAAGGCTATACAAAGAAATCCTGTCTCAAAAAACAACAACAACAACAACAAAAAAAAAAAACCAAAGAACAAAAAACACCATACTTGTATACTATTACAAATTAAAATTTTAATATTATCCTGCGATTACATTAATGTCTATTTATACAACACAAATGATTGACACCCGGACCTTGCTGCTCTTTATTACTTTGTAATCTTTTGAGATTATAGTGTAATCACATTATACACCCCCTTGCATTTTCTCTGAGGTATTTTTTGATTACAGAGTCTAAGTGACCTAAGTAGCTGGGTTTACTGCCACTACTGTGTCTGGCTTAAGTGGCATTTTAGGTAGTCATTAAATATATATATTGAATTTTAAATTTTTTAATAAGTATCTAATGTTTGAAGCCTGTTATATTAATGAGAAATGTTAGTTTGGTATTTACCACTCCAGAACACATCAGTGGACAAAAGATAGTGAAGTGAGACTTCACTCCAGACTCTGTGTGTTTAGTTACTATCTACCAGTGGGTTATGTGGAATGAAATGACTAATGTTATGCCTCATCTGACAGTAAAGACAAAATGTAAGTGTGATAAGGATTAAAAAAAGATTTATATCTTATGCAATGAATATGGCTTTGAAATAGTTTTTAGAATAGATTTCCTGTTCCAGTTTGAAGCAACAAGGTAGAGGAAATCTGAATGCTTATAAATAACCTTTAAGTAATATAAAAACAAAGCATTAATTTGTAGGTGTTTAAAGTATTTTTCTTAGAAATGTTTAACTTAAAATATGCATTTTATCATATTGTGAGTTACATCCATTTTTAAAAAGTAACAGTGTATTTTATATGCATGTGTGTTTTGTCTGCATGTATGTCTGTATACACACCATGTGTGTGCCTGGTGCCGATGGAGGCCAATTGGAGACATTAAATCTGGAACTGGAGTTACAGATTTTTGCAAATTTCCGTATTGGTTCGAGGAATCAAATCTGGATCCCCTGTAAGAGCAGCCAGTGTTCTTAACCTCTAATACATTTCTTCAGCCCCCAAATTGCATCTGTTCTTAGCTAAAGAATTCTAAGCCAGGTGTGGTGGTGCATGCCTTTAATCCCAGCAGTCAGGAGTCAAGAGGCAGGTGGATCTCTGAGTTCGATGTCAGCTTGGTCTACAAATTGAGTTCAGGATAGCCAAGGCTACACAAAGAAACCCTATCTCAAAAAAAAAAAAAAAAAAAAAAAAAAAAAAAAAAAAAAAAAAAAAAAAGGAATTGACAGTCTAAGAAAACCCATCTTAATAAATTGTATATAGTCATGCAAAGCATCATCATGTTAGGACGAAATAATGAGGAAAGTTAGAAATAAGTTCTTAATTCTTGGATATAAACTCACACTACTAGTACTTCATTTGAGAAGTCAAATACTGAATTGTATAGTGTTTCTACCAGACACAAAATTTATGTGCAGCTATATGGAAGTCATTAAACTCGGGAGTCTGAAGTTTGAATATCCAATGGAAGAGTCCATTTCATTTATGCAGTAGTTGGCCAGTTTAAGCCAAGGCTGATGAGTTCATTAAAAGTTGAAAGGCATGGTATTAATCAGCTGTCCTCATCTTATGGTTGTATAATATTGCTCTGTTTTATGACTGTGCTTGACTAATGTCATAGTAGATGACTCTAGGAAAGAAATTGTGACTGTTAATTGCCTGGAGTCGTCTGGCTGGGGAGGGCTTGTCAGGGTATTGTACAAATGTTAGTGAAATGTTTCTGCACTGTTCTCTCTCTTCCTTGCTTTTGTTTACTGTATTTATATAGTAATAGCATATGGCTTTCTTAAATTGTCTTTTTTATTTTCTTCAAAAAGAATGTTGGGTTTTTTTGGAGGAGGGGGAGCCAGGGTTGAGGTTGGGGGGTTGCCCATGAAGGTCAGAAGAGAGGTGTTGAGTTTCCTGGAACTGGAGTTATAGGAGCTTATGAGTGATCTAACATGGGTTCTGTTGAGCTCAGGTCCTATAGAAGAGCAGTATACTTGCCCTCCCCTTTTTTCCTCTGGTAAGATCTCACTATGTAGCCTTTGCTGGCCTGAAACTTGCAATGTAGACCAGGCTGACCTTGAACTCAGATCAGCCTGCCTCTGCCTCTCTGGTGCTGGGCTTAATGATATGTGCCACCATATGCTTCATTTCTTCTTTACCTTAGAGGGAAAATACATAGAAAAATATTTCATAAGATATTCTGAAAAAGCCAGCTCCAGCTCTACCGTGTCTTTGATCATCCCAAGCTTGAGCCACCTACCCCACTTACAGCGGCCTTGAAACAATAGTGACTTTGTCATCAGTGGAACAGAAATCTCAGTGACGTAACTAGAGGGAAAACTATGTGTAGACAAATGACCCACTCTTGGCACTGTTGTAAAAGCAGAGAAGAAAAGGCCTGAGTAATTTGAATTTTTATTGTGATTTGTTGTTATTTTTAGGAAAAGTAGCTTATTATTATATCAGTCTTGGAATGGATGCCAAGAAAAAGATACCACAAACAAGTTTTCCCTCTGGAGACAGCCAAAGGGCCTGAGATTTGGTTTTGTGTCCGTTTCTATTCCCTGTGTATTCTCGTGTTTCCACAAGATGTTAATGACCATCAAATAGGAAGTTTTAAAGTTGCATTTCATTTTGTTCTTGAATGTCTATTTGCTGTTTAGGGGAGAGGGTTTTGAATAGTCTCTACACTTTCTGTGGCATTAACTTGCCATTTTGTTTGATTGATTAAGTGATTAATTTAGAGACATGGTCTTACTAAGTAGCCTTGGCTAGCTTAAACTCACTGTGTATATCAGCTTATAGTCAAATTTAGTCTTGAATGCTGTGGTTACAGATATGTGCATCCAGGCCCAGTCAAATATGACGTTTTTCTTTTTGAGACAAGGTCTTACTCTGTAGCCCAGCTGGTCTGGTTTTTACTGTGGAGCACAGGCTGGCCGTGAAATCTTGGAGGTCCTCCTGTCTTAGACCCCTAAGTGCTGGGATTACAGATGCGAGCATCATGCCCACCTTTACTTGTCATTTTAAAGACATTATATACTGTAGATACACCCTATACATTTTTAAGGTGAAATTACTGTCCATTATTAAGAAGTAGCCGTTTTGCAAAGATTAGTTAAGAAGAAAACGGAAATATGCTAAAATGTTGAAGCAATTTTTAGAAAATAAAAGCACAGTTTTCTGCTGCCTTGCCATAGAGCCCTGAGAGAACAAAAACTCAGCAGCGTCTAACTGGAGCAGTGCGAGCAGCTCTGTGTTGAGAGCCCTTTTGTCTCACGCTTTAGCTACTGCTAATCCTTTCTGATGCTCAAGCAACTAAAGAGTATATCATGGGCATTCTGTTAAGTAAGCACCAGTTTACAATATATGTCATTGCATGCTAAGAGCTTTTGATGCCTTAATGAAAGGGCTTTGGTGTGTTTAAGTTCCCTCTGAATCTGAGGGAGTCATGTACACAAAGCTAGAAATTGATACTGTTGCTTTGAACTTTAACTGAGAGCCCTAACATGAACAAAAGTTATGACAGCAACCTAACTTAAGTTGTTTTAAATTTTAGGAAATGTCTTATATATGTTGGTTTTAGAGACCTTTTTAAATGTTTTAAACACAATTTTCAGATAACAGTAATGAAAGGCTGAGCCCCAAACCAGGGACAGGTGAACCAGTTTTAAGTTTGCACTACAGCACAGAAGGAACAACTACAAGCACAATAAAACTGAACTTTACAGATGAATGGTAAGTAAACACTTTCGTGATAACATTCTTAGCTGTTTCGTAGAACTGTATTAGATATGCTTCTTCTGTACTTCATTTTCTGTTTTGTTTTTCCTGTACTGTATTGGTTGTGAAACTGTAGTATGTTTTAAATTCCTTGAAGAATTACTCATTAGGAGTTTGTGGAGATGGTTTATTGTCAGTAAATAAGAGCCCATGCTGGGTAAGCCTGCAGACCTGAGTTGGACTCCCAAGCAGCCATGTAAAAAGCTGAACATTGCTGCACATACATGTAGGTGCCTGTAATCCTAGCCGTGGGAGGCAGAGACTGGCAGATCCCTTGAGCTCACCAATGGCTTCCTGTTCAGTGAGAGACTATCTCGAGCCAGTGTGTGGAAAGCAACAGAGGAAGACACCCAATATCTTATAGCACATGTGCATGTTAAACCCACACTTGGATGCACACAAAACAAAATAAGTAAAACTCCTCAGATCAACAAATCCCACCTAAGATTAGGTGTGAAATCAGACCAGAGAATTTACATTTCTAAATATGTAGCAAATTGTGTTTGTCTGTTCTGATAGAAAATACAAACAATAATGTAATCACCAACAGAGAACATTAATTTAAAATATTTTAGTCTTTGTTATACGTGTTTCTGTGTGTGTGTGCGTGATTTTTGTTGTGCATTTTAGAACATAATTTTAATTATACTGAATATACTCCATTCTGCATTTGTTAAACTTAACTTTCTAGTAAGCAGTATTAACTGTAAGTAAACATCATTTTTCTTTAGTTACTTGTATTAAATGTTATTTTACTAGAATTTTCCAGAGGTGAACTATGTTTAGATCAAAGATATTTCTAATTTATTTTTAAAGGGCTTTCTCTCTTTACATTTGTGTTAGTGTATGAACAAACATATTTTACTCTCAGTTCAATATGTTTAATTTTTGACTCATGATTTTTTAAATAATTTTACTTCATATTATTAGAAAGGTTGGACTTCTCTACTCCATGCTATATAGGTTGTTTTTAATGACATTTGTGATTTCATTCATGTATTAATTTAACTGATTCTTAACATTTAAAAAAAATCAATTTATGTAAACATTTTATTATATCTTTTCCACTGTTTTAGAACATTAGAACATTTTGATTGAACATTATTTAAATATTTTTATTTAACCTTGTTTACTTAGTAATTAATGAATGCTTATTGATAGTATGGTATATTAAAATATATAATTATGTGCTAGCATAATTATAAACCTTTAATATTGTATCAGTTGTTTATAGTCATTTGTAATTACCATTAATATTAAATCCTGTTAATTTATTAAATTTCTGTAAATATATACTGTTAAGTATATTATGTACAAATAATATGTGCTAGTGTATTATTAATATATAATTATGTTATGTGTTTGATTTCTATGTGCTTATATGTTAATTTATTCAGTTCACAAATTTCCGTGTGTGTTTATGTTTAAATGCATTTTACAGTAAAATCTGATTAAATAGGATTTTGAATGTTATTGGAGACCTTCCATCTCCCAAGGACTATTCTAGACATTGGAAATGTGTAAGTGAAAAAATAGTCTAAAAAAAATCTGTGCCCTCCTGGAGCTTACACTGTAGGTGGAGGAAGTAGACAGTAATTACAGTACATAAGTGCAGAGGATGGCATGTTGGAAGGCACTAAGCACTGTGGAAGGAAATAGAGCCAGTAAGGACCCTCGAGAAGCATAAAGGTAGTCATCGGTGAGGTGACGTGTGTAGGAAGAACTTCTTAGGCAGAGAGAAATCTTGCACGTCTGAGCAATGCAGTCCTACCTGTGCAGGGATTCTTTTAGTTTTAGTTATGTCTGTATCATAGCTTTCTCGGTGAGGAACACAAGTGTAGCATGTTTGCTTTTATTGACCACAATGGCTTTATGTTCTTCTCTAGATAAAAAGATATTTACAGGGGCCAGAAGGATAATTTAGTAGGAAGCTCAAATAAGTGAAATGGAGTGAGCAGAGGAGAGACAAATGAGTGACAGATAAGGTCACCAGAGGAAAATGAAGAGTGTGTTTAAAAACAGAAAAGATATTTTTGGATCCTGTGTTCAGATTGTACCGTAGGTAGAAGTCAATGCCAGTTAAACGATTGTGGCTGTAAACAGTAAGAGGTAGCAGAATGGGAGCAGTAAAGGTTGTAAAGGCAATCAAATTCTAGACACTAGGTTTGAAGATTCAGCTAGTGGCATTTCTTAATGACTCCAAGTGGTTCATCATAACATTTTAAAATAATGACATTTGTGGCCCTGTTCCATAATATATAATTTATCACAAGGTTCTCATTTATCATTTATGCCCTATCTCTTCTATTTTCATCTTTCTATATAACACTGCCTTAGGAAGAATGCCTTCAGAACAATTCTTTTTAAAAAAGTCTTACATTCTTATTTTTTGAATGCTAATTTCACTTAAAATGACCATAAGTTATATTGTCATTCATCAGTTTGTCAAAGATTAACATTTTTATTTTTAAATATTCAAATACATTATTGAAATAAAGCAAAACAGTAAAAGCTATTTTTTTTTAATTTTACTATTGGGCCTTACTTTTTCGTGTCTTTAATGATAGATGAGGCAGTAGAGTACACTACAATATTGGACTCTAACTTGACAGCCTGAGGACGCTCTCGAGAGCCTGGTTTTCTAGTGGCAGTGGGCACTCCTAAAAGAACCCATTTCTAAGGCTTTTTTGTGAACATTTCATGGGATTTGCAGAGAAAGCACCTTAAACTTAGCACACTTGGCATATGATAAGCCTCAGATAGTTAGCTATAGTAATACTCTTCCATACATTGTTATTCTAATAATTTGTCCCATTTTCTACTGTGGCTTCCATCCTTTTTTGTTGATTTATTTGGGCTATTGTAGAATTTGGTGAGGGTGATATCATTTGGTAGTGTTTTACAGATGTGTTCGTTCTTGAGTTTATTTGCAGTGATTGTGTGCTTTACAATTTCTACCTGTAATCTTCGTCTTAGAAGCCTTGTCCTTCTCATATTGGGAATACCCTGTTCTCATCTTACTTTTGTGTTTTCCATAGTTTTATAGTAAAAATACTTGCGTACTAATTCTGGAATTATTTTTCTAGCAAGCGTGTTGCTGAGTTACAACATTAGCTTTCCACATGCTGTTCCCTTGTCCCAGGACCATTTGCTGTTCAATCTTGTCATTTGCCTGTGATTTACAGTGCCATAACTGTGCTGAGTGTGTTTAATTGAATAGTGTGTCTTTTCCACTAGATTCTTATTCCTGTGTTATTACCATAATGTTGTACTCATCATAACTATTGTACTGTGACCATTTTTTTTATGTCTGTATCATAGCTTTCTCAGTGAGGAAAAAAAATTGTAATTGGTTTTATTGACCATAATGGTTTTATATTCTCTTCTAGTTAAAAAGATATTTACAGGAGCCAGAAGGATAATTTAGTGGTTAAGAACACTTGCTGTTGTAGACAAACAACAGCGGACCTAGGTTTGGTTCCCAGCACTCATACGGTGGCTCACAACCATCTGTAACTCCATTTCCAAAGTATCAGATGCCCTCCTCTTGTTGCTGCAGACACCCATGTGGTATAAACGTGCAAAAGACCCACATATTAAAAATAAAAAGGAAGAGAGAAGGAAGGAAGAAAGAGAGAGAGAAAGAAGAAAGGAAGGAAAAAAGACAGGAAGATAGATATGGTCTTTAAAATTACAAAAAAAAAAAAAAGGAAGAAATAGCATAAAATATTTTAACTGAAATAATCCTACTGAGACAACACTTTAGCTGGTTTACAACCCTCCTGACATTTTTTTCTTCGTGTATACCCATGTCAGTATATATTATTGTTTAAAAAAATATATGTACACTTTAAGAAATATGGAATTGACTTTTGCAATTGGCTTAAAAGAAATTTTACAGAATCTTGGCAAAAAGTCCCTAGTAATTTCTTTTTTGCATGTGTTTATTTGTTTGGGTACATGTCTTGGCATGTATGTGGAAGCCACAGACACCTGGGGGGATTGGTTCCCTGTTCTCACCAGTGGGTTCCTGCCATCATGCTCTGATCTTCAGGATTGGCAACAAGCACCTCACCCACTGAGCCATTTTCCTGGCTCTAAATTTGATTTTAATCTCAGATTTTTACACATCTTCCTCTTTTCTCATCAACCTTCTCCTTACACATGTGCTATGATTTTTTTAATGGAATTAAAAGTTATTTATTTGACTGGGTCTAATATTGTGCAAAAGCCAGAAATGCTAGTGGGACTTTGGCCATCGTCAGGTGAGTATTAAAACTAAAATAGAAAATATAATCTCTTTCTACAAAACTGTAATGCTCAGTAAACACACACATGCACATGCACAAATAAATACACACACACCAGGATAGGCAAATATTCCCACTGGGGGCAGTTCAGAAACACTGATGTAATGGCCAGGCTTTCATTCAACCTAAACTTCAGTAGAAACTGGGGCTGAAGATGTGACATACTAGCATGTATGACACCCTTGTGTTTGATTCCCCCCCCGCGCGCGCGCGCACACACACACACACACACGCACGCACACATACACACACTGACAAAGAGAGTCTTATTAAGAGACACAGAAGTGTGTAGTCAGTAATAGAAGGATCAAAATAGTGAATGAAAGACCTCCCCTATCAGTGGACTTGGGGAAAAGGGGGGGAGGGTGAGTGGGGCTGGAAGGGTCAGGAGGGAGGTGTTCACAGGGGATACAAAGTGAATAAAGTGTAATTAATAAAAATTAAAAAAATAGTAAATGAAAGGGTCCCCATTTTAAAATCTTTTTAATATGAACTGTATTGATTGTCATGATCTCTTTTTTAAACAATGGCTTTTCAAGTACTTATGTTCTGAATTTTCTAATATACTTTTAAGTTGTAAAATATAAGAGTTACATCAAAATCTTATGTTAACTTTTGGTAGAATCACTTATCTTTCTGTGATACTAGGAGCAGTACAACCTCAAGTTCCAGAGGAAATGGGAGCCATTGCAAATCTGAGGGTCAGGAAGAATCATTGGTTGCACAGAGCACCATGCAGCCACCTGAAGGAGACAGTGAAACAAGTTCGATTATTTTGCTTTTTCTTTAAGAAACCCCAGTGCCAAATTATTCACCTCTTTTTCTATTGCTCCACAATGCTTCACCTCTGTTCTTTGTAGTGAGATCTTGCCTTACTTTAAATTTTATTTTGTGGGGTGCATCCTTGTGGGGGTCAGAGGATATCTCTGTAAAGGCAGCTTCCTCCTCCCTCCTTTACTTGGGTTCTAGGAATCAGAATCAGGTCTCCAGGCTTACAATTAGTAAACCCCTTCACCTTCTGAGCCATTTGCTGAGACCTGCAGTGAGATTTTAGTTGAATATTAAAGGTGTCTGTGACCCAAAATTGAGAGACATTTATTTAAAGGAATTCTGGAGTGCTATGTTTGTATTTTTTTTCTTTAAAAAGCTAGATTTAATAATAATTTTAATTCTAGGAGCTCCTGAAGAACTATCAGAGAAAGGAACATTTTCAGAAAACCTCACTCAAAACCAGATAGATATAGGTGAGTTGTTTTGCTGTCTTTAGGAAATTGGCTCATATACAAAAATTAAACAGCCTTAATCTGTGATCTCTCCAGAGGCAAAGGTTTCTTCTAAATGATGTGTATGCCATTTCCCTCTCCATAGTCCTCTAATATGAATCAGACTTCCTATCAGAACATGTCAGCTCCGAAGTTAAATAAGATGATGAGCTGAACCTGTGACTAACCTATAAACAACTCTGTTTTCTGACAGCACAATTTGATAACTTTACTGCTGAGCCATTGGATTCTAACTCAGGAGAAAGAAAGAACCCAAGTCTGGACAGTCCTTGTGGTGTTCCAGAAGAAAGCACTTTGTCTGACACAGGCAGGGAGATTTCTGAGCAGGCCAGCACCGAGAGTGCTGCCAATCGTGCTAGCTCCAACCCTGGACTCCCATCCCAAACAGAAGCTATCACGCCCTTAGCTCATGAAGACACATCAACCAGGGACTCTACTCTCCAGGACACAGATGACAGTGATGATGACCCAGTCTTGATCCCTGGTGCAAGATATCGAGCAGGACCTGGAGATAGGTTGGTATATTTTTAATTAGCATAGACTGTGAAAAATGTAAAAAATGTAATTCCCAAGAGTTTGAAGTCAAATGAGAATCAGTTTTAAAAGTTGTTTTATAGAGGTGTCTCAATTGTATATGACACATAGAATTTATAAACTGTAAATGATTTCACAGATTCTGAGCACTGTTATGAAGGAGTGAACAGAAAGTGTCTTTTGCTCAGTATTTCCGCCACTGAGGCTTGTGCCTCAGTTTATGGATCAAGAGGATGAATGCTGAGAATGACTAATGGGTTACTTATTAAGGTTACATTTAGTTGTCAGATTGCTTTGTAGAGATGGCCTTTTTTTTGTTTTGATTGTTTGTTTATTGAGATGGAGGTCTACTGTGTGGCCCTGGTTGTCCTGGAACTCCTCAAACTCAAAAGAGATCCACCTGCCTGTGCCTCCCAAGTGCTGGGATTAAAAATGTGTACCTCCAAGCTTGTTCTTATTTTAGTGTTACTTTTTTCCTTTTTTATTGTCCCTGGTAGTATGATAGTAGTTTTCCTTTTGGAGAACTCAATTAAGAATTGAGTAATGACTCATTAAGAAACTGAAAAGAAAGTGAATAAACTGTAATCAATAAAAATTAAAAATTTATATAAAATTTATATGAAAAGGTATGAGATGAGAAATAAATATTGTAGCAATAATAGAGACCTGAATTATTACTATGTTTGTATGATTTTTCCATTCTCAGATTTTACATAAACAGAAGGAAGATTATTTTAGGAGATAAAATATGTTTTAATGATCTTTTACAATGACTAGGCCTGGTGATACAGGTCTGTAATGCCAGCTACTTGGGAGTTGCAGCAGGAGGATCCCAAGTTCAAGGTTTGCCTATGCATCTTAGTGAGATTGTCTCAGAGTAAGAAATAAAAAGGAAGAGGTAGGGATAACCCTCACTTGTTAGCAAGGAGCTTCTGGTCACTCTCTGGGAACTAGGAAGAAAAGTGTGTTGCCTCATCTGTGTAGTAACCTGTCTGAGTGGTTAGTACCATTTTACCTCATTGTTCCAGAAAATCCAGTTCTTCTAATTCACACAGGAGTCAAGTTCTCTGAGGCCCAGTTCACATATTTATGTGTTGAACAGACTGTTGTTTATCAAACATTCAGCATACATTTCTGACATAATTAACAAGATGATACATTATACACACATTACACATATTATGATATTATTATACCTCTAAAAATAGCAGTCTCTACAGACACAGAAGCTCATACTTGTAATCTGAGTCCTCAGAAGGCTGAGGCAGGAGGACTGCTGCCAGGAGTTCAAGGCCAGCTTGAGCTACATGGAATATTACAGGGTTTTTCTGGGCTACAGAATTAAGCCATACTCAAAATTCAGGACCAAAAAGGTGGCAATGCGGTGTAATTGTTAATAACATCATAACTTGTGTTTGAATCCACACCACCAATCTTTCTTACACATGGTGCTTATTGATTCAGAAACTCAGTTTTCTTGTATGATGTGGGATAAAGATTATCTAAAATTATTGTACAAATTTAAAATGAGTCAATTATAGGACCTGTTTCATATTGAAAAAACTGATACGTATCTTAAACAACCAATGTGTTTTCTGTATAAGGTTGCCTAATCCTGAAAAAACAATCACAGTAAGACTGGCTCAGCCAGCAGCAGTAATGTATGCCTATAAATCTAGCTACTTGGCAGACTGAAGAAGACTTATGTTTGAGAACTAACTTAGGCAGTTTAGAGAGACCCTGTCACAAAGTTAAAAGGACAAAAAGAAATGCCTCCAAGGAATAAAGATTAACAAATAGAAGCATTAAAAAGTGCAGCTTTCAGCTCAGGAAAACCACCTGAGCTAACCATGGAAGGGTATGTACCTTCCATCAGGTTTGGGAAATGTTTACTTTATGAGGGTACTGTTCACATAATCTTTCCTTATATTTGTACTTGAAGATTAATAAAAAACACTTTCTACATGTTAATCATTAACCTCCCACATTTTTTTTTTTTTTTTTTTTTTATTGATTGCTTTGTTTTGTTTTGAAATAAAGTGTTACCATTAGCCCTGGCTGGCTCTGTAGCTCAGACTGACCTCGAGTTCTGAGTTAAAGTGCTGATTACAGGCATGTTCCACTAACCCCTCAGCATCTTTATATTTTTAGCAAAGGAAACTTAGTTCTGTTTCTTTCCACAGTGGTTAAGGGTGCCTTAGAAGGTCCTCACTACTTGATACTACAGGTGTGTTTAACAAGCATAGCTCAATTGGAAAATCTAACTGATACTTTCTAAAACATTACCATTTTTATAATATTTAGATTATGTCTCATTCTCCTAAGATTTTATTTGCTGTAAAGTTGGTATCTGATAACTTGATTAAACTAGAAAATCCAGTTGTTGAATTAGTCAAACATTTAGAAAATTGATAATTATGAATAGCAGCCTGGAACTACCTTTTCTTTATACCTGAGCTTAAATTTGGGTGTTATGATTAGATCCAGATTTTAAACTTTTAAAAACTGGATATAATTTAGTAATCTGTACAGTGTGGTTACTTAGCCTTAATTTGGCCTGTATATTACTTACTTTCTGTAGGACGTAAATTTAGACTAGTAACAAATAATAATAAAATTCCTAATCTTCAGGAAACTTAATTGGAGAAGAAAGTATACAAGCCATTCAAAGCAAAGCTGAGTATCTGAAACTAAGGAAAATGCTGCATGTATAAACACACCCAGCTGAGGTGGCTGGGGCCACTGTAGAGCTCTTTCAGCATTATAGCGATTCCTTCAAGATTCCATGTCTTTCCCAGGTTTGTTTTTGCTTTTGGGGTTGGTTTTTTTTTTTTTTTTTTTTTTTTTTTTTTTTGGTCCATTTTTGTTGTTGTTGTTGCCCTTTGTAGTCCAAGGACCTTGAATTCCAAGTAATCCTCCTGCTTTAGCTTCTGAAGGCTTAAAGGCATAAGCTACCACATCTAGCCTCTCCTAGCTCTTTACCAAAAACTTGTAAGTGACAAAAACAACTGTTCCTTTGGCTTTTCTGTGATGTGTCCCTTGGCTAGCACCACTTGCTGTGTAATCAGAGCTGCCCAAGTAAAGAATGTGCCTGCTGGGTCTGCCCTCTGCTTTATCCAGGAGGCTACGGCCAGCTTGTTACCTACAGTGAGGTTCCACTTGCTGTGGGGTTTTTGCTCCTAAACTTGGAGGTAGATAATAGGTTGAGTTATATTTTATTAATTTTCTTTCTTTTTATTCTTTTCTTGGAATTTTTTTCTTTTACATTTTTAACAATGTATTCATTATATATCCGGATTGGAGCCCTCTCCCTCAACTCCTTCCAGTCCCACCCTTTCTCCCTCTTCCCCTCTTCCCCTTTAGCTTCTTCCCCTTGTCCACTGAAAGGGAGAGTTCTCCTCTGCCATCTGTCTATAGCTTATCAAGTGTCATGAGGACTGCCTGGGTCCTCTTTCTCTGTGGCCTAGCAAGGCCACATTACATTGCCAGAGACAAGTGAGCAAGGAGCAGGCAACCGAGTTCTTCACAGAGGCAGTCAAGCTCCGCCTACTCAGGAAGCTACATCTGTGTAAGGGGGCTATGTCCTCTTTGTGCATGGTACTTGGTGCAACAGTCTCTGCAGGGCCCCCTGGGCTCAGATTTTTTAGCTTTGTTGGTATTCTTGTGAGGCTCCTGTTCCCTCCATGCCCTTCTATCCCCTACTTCTTCTCTAAGACTCCCTACATCACCAGAAGCCGTGGAAGAGAGGGAACAGGGCTGGAGCCTACTAAAGAGGGTCCTCTAAAAGGCACCACCCAACAGCATCGAAGCAGATGCTGAGATTCACAGCCAAAGTTTGACTTGTATTTTAAAAGGAGCAAATTTTTTTAAAAATTTACTTTTAAGAACACAAATTATTTACTGTCTTATAAAGTTAGCAATATTTGAACTACTTTCTGTCTCTGAATGGGCTAAGGTACATTCCACACATTGGTAAAATGCCCAGCTAACAGAATGCATGCCTTAGAGGTCACTTACCTGCCCAGGCTAGAAGGCTAATGTGTTGTCCGTGTGTCCCAGAACAGTTCTTGCTGCCATTTAAAAAGCCCAGTCAATTAATTTAGTTAGGGTAGAGAAATGATCTTCAAAGTAGGTATAGTAAAAGTCAAATAGTTAGAAAGTTAAATGTATAGTTAGTTAAACCTTTCCTTTTAGTATAGCTCACAAATTTTAATTTTCACTTTTATTGTTTGCTAAATTTATGCTTTTAAATGAAACTTTAAGTTTCATGTAGTTAAGCCATTGATACCCAAGAAGTCCCTGTACTGCAGAGTAATGATTTCCATAACACAACTATTTACATTCTTTTTGCTACAGAGAGATCAGGTTTCTCTGTGTAATCTTGGCTCTTCTGGACTCTCTTTGTAAACCAGGTTGGCCTCGAACTCACAGAGATTCACCCGTCTCTGCCTCCCAGGGTGCTGGGATTAAAGGCTTGTACCACCATACCCGGCTTTCTTTTTGCATTTTTTGAGTCAAGCTCTCATATACCCCAGGTTGGCCTTGAGCTTGCTGTTTATTTGAAGGTGAGTTTTAATTCCTGGTCCTCCCACCCATACCAGTGTGAGATTACAAACATGGGCCACCATGCTTGACTCTTAGCACTCTTAAAGTTTTGTTAAATATAAAGTGGGTTTGCATTCTGCAACTGAAATCAAGGCTGAAAAGGCAAATCAAGGATGAAAATGCCTCAGCAAATAAAGGCCGTAATAGTCACAGGGATACTTTTAAATGTGGAACACTCTTTAACTATAGCACATCTATATAAAAACAACTGGAAGAGTCACAGGTATTCAGACTTTTCCCCCAAAGGGCCAGATAATAAATAATTTAAGCGTTGCTGGCCAGGAGGTAACGCAGAAACTGCTATATAGGCACTTAGATAACTATTTTAAATGTAACCATTTAAAAATGAGAAAACTGTCCTTAACTTAAAGGTCAT